GTCCCTCCCCTCTTCCTCCTCCGACCCCCCCCCCCGCCTAATACTACAGCCATCCCTTCTCTGGGCTGCAAAAAGTTCTCTGTTTCTTTGCTGCCATCCAGTGGTCATCCTGATGTTTGCAGCCAATGATGTCAAGCTTTTTTACAGCTGATTACAACCAAAAGCAAAGTTCTCACAGAGGCTTTTTTAATGAGATTTTTTGAAAGGGAAAAGAAATTAACTTATAGAAATCATGGCAACTGGATACTTTAGCACCCAATTTGTCCTTAAGGTCACTAGGGCGGAGATTTCTTAATACTTAATTTCTTCATTTTAACAACCCTTTGATGGGTAGGGGAGTTGACTTCCTGATAATAAAGGAATGTGAAGATATTTCAAACGTGTAATATTTTCCAAGGTGCTATCTTTTTTTCCCCAGTGTCTGAGTTGATCATTATCCACTGTGTGCCTAATACAGCAGGATCAGGGAACTTTCAACTTGTGGGCACAAAGTGGTGTGTAGCTTGCTAAGGTTGTAAAAGCACCTCCTTATCTCCAAAAATGCATCCTTTGAGAACCATACTTTCATGCACAGCTATTTAGCAACTAGTAGTGTGTAAATGGCTAGAGAAAACTCTCTTTTGGGGTGGGATGGAGGAGTTAGTTTCCACCTATTCCTTATTTTAGTAATGAACTTCTTTGTTATCAGCCTTTGACCCTCTGAACTAGCTTCTACACTTAATCATGTGTCTTTTGGAAAATATTTTGAAAACCAATCAGCTAACTACTGGATAAAGTTTCCTTATCCTGCCAAACAGCTTATTAATTAATCCATTTCAGGTTCCATGGTTCTGTCGAAACAAAGTAATACATAAAAACATGAATAGATACATATTTTCCTCCTAAGTATGTAGAAGCATGAATACCTTAAACTACAAGCTTTCTCCTCTATAGTCTTGACTTGGTGTCTTATATAAATGGCCTGAAATTCCCAGAGTCACTCTTAAGTCAATGTTTATAGTCATGGATAGCCTTTGTATATTATGTACACCCATTTTCAATCATACGATTGCACTGAAAATAAGGTAGAAATTAATAGAGAAAAATGTCAGTTTGCAGGAACAAGAAGAGGTGTTTATGAAGGGCATTTTGTAAAAGACTGGGTGTACCATATTTGGACTGCAGAAATCCACATGGCCACTAGATGGTAGCAAAGAGATGGAGAATTTTTTTCAGTATGTCTAGAAAGGACTAATCATTAGGCTATTGAGGAGAGGAGTGATCTGAAGATGCAACATATTTTAAGTTTAGGCTAATATATTTTGATCTGTTCAGTTTAAAAAAATGGAATTACAAACCTACAATATAGGTTTTTTTTAAAAAATCAGTACTGCCATTCAGTGGTCCTGCACAATATTGTGCTCAATTTTCTTTACTGTATTTGGTCCATGATATTTACCACCTCTAGTGTAATAGGAAGAAGGTGAGTAATGAGGAAGCATCCTTTTTATAGGTGTTACAGATAGTATGTGTAAAAGTGGCAATTATAATGAAGTTCCTAGTATTTCTGCAGGGAAAAAGTAGGAGACCAGTCCTTCAAACCAAGCAATGAGGTCTTAAGTAAAACAGGCATTTTGACTTATCAAAGCAATCCCTTTGAGTTAATAAGCTTATAGAAATGGTTTATATTCATATTAGTGCTGCCTTGGAGCAACACACATTCAAAACTATGGTCATACATGTTCTATTCTTAGGTAATGAAAGCTTGAGAATTTAGAGTTCAGAATAAATTAATACAGGAATTATATTGCTCAATTCCTATGGTGAATAAAAGGTCTCTATATCTGCTGGATACAATGGAGTTCTAGAAATGTCAGGTTGTTTCAGATTTTTGTATGAAGCCTAAGAAAACAGAACAAGGTGATCATCTTCCAAGAAAGGATCTTATTCCCTCTGTGTCATTTGTTCTGCTTTATTGCCAGGATAAATATTGCATCTTGGAAACAGAAACAGAAACAAGTTCCCAGACACGAAGACAATGAATCACGAGTGTGTAAAAGGGGCAGCACGTGGGTCACGTTACTCCATGTTGCTGACCTCTGTCCTTCAGTTCCTGTACTTGCCACTAGCAATCTGGATCTGCTGGAGTTAAGACTGTAGAACCTTTGTCTTGCTGTGGAAGTCCTAATGCAGATGGTTGCTTGTCTCTGGCGGTCCTCCTCAAGGACTAACCCCACCCTGAGCTTAGCCAGCCTAACTGAGATGTACTTCTTTCAGGCTCTACAGTAAACAAAAGAAGAACATGACTAGCACCACATAATTATTGTTTTTTAACTTTAGCTACCAGTGGCCAAGGAACCCATCTGTAGCTTAAAGGAATAAAAACATTCAAATATTTAAAACAGAAGCAAAGTAAGATAGGCCAGGTTTTTAAAAAAAAATCCATGGTTATAGTTCTGTGTGATTAATGGCCAGTTTAAATCAGGATTATAGGTTATGACTGTAGTTATTTAGTCTCTTATTTATTTTCCTCTTTAGCCAAAACGGTTCCAGAATGGCTTTGTTAATTAAACAACAAATCTTCTGACTGCTAACCACATGGGTCATATTTTCTAGAGCCTGCAACTTTCTTTTTCATCCCTTATTCAGAACATTTAGGACCATTTTAGACATGAGCTCCCTGAATTGCTAGTCTCCTGGTGACACCATAGCAATGTAGTTTCTTTGGCAACAATACAGAAGTGGTTTGTCATTACTTCTGGGAATATATTTAATATAAATATATAAATATATTTATTTTCCCAATTTTGCCCACAGCCTTGGAATTTCCTAGTAGTAAGGATTAACTAGGTCTGATCCCACTTAGCTTTTTTGAGATCAGTTAATACATTCTCATGCAAACCTCTAATATTTGACTACCGGAAACATTTTTTTTTTAAAAAAAATCTAATATTCACTATGGCATTACATGGCCAGACACTCCCTGACAAATGTACACAGAGCATACATTTTGCTGTGTCATGTAGGATTCTAGAGAACTGGATATCCCAGTCAATTTATCCTGAGTTAGATACACACACAAACATTAATCATTGGCAGATGGTGAAACTGTAATGTCAAAAAAACTGAAATAGAGGAAGTACAGCCAGTGTTAATGACTATATTAACCGTTGCCAGAAAACTCTTGTTATTTTCATTGCAGCAAACAGGGCTACTTTTCTTGAAATTCTCTCTCAACAATTATATTTATATGTTAGAAGACCATGTGCTCAGGGGAAGTGAAAAAGTAGCCCAGGCCAGAGACCTCATGCCGTCAGGCCCTGAAAGTGACAATTTTGCAGTTTTATTTTGTATCTTTTTATGTTTCATGGGGCTTTGCAGAGCAAAAGGAGAGCTTTGCAAAGCCTGTTAGCACATTACTACTGTATCCTCAAAGCGTTAAAGCTGCCGTATCCTCTGATGGCTTAAAGGTGCTTCAAAGGCTGTTCTTGGCTATCTGCGCCTGCACAAAGCTGCTCTTTCTGGCAGAATGTGCTGTCCATGCACAGATGTGCATTCAGCTGGGAACAGCCTTTGAAGCAGCTCTGTAAGCCTTTTAAGGGATGTGACTGCTTTAGTGCTTAGACTTCTGCTTGTGCTAACACACTTTTTGGAGCACCCCTTTCGAATGCACAGTGCTAGTTAAGTTGTAAATTGCTAGAAGTGCCTCAGCAGAAAGGAAGTACATAAACACAGCAAGTAGATTAAGTTCTCCCGACTCCTCAGAGATATTTGACTTATATCGGACTAGAACTTATTAACTCAGTAAAGATCTGTGGATGACCAGTAGACACACAAATTAATCAAGTGCCAATACACAAACTCCATGGGTTTCAATTATATATATATATACATTGAAGTAAATGAGCTGACAAATAAATTAACTTTCAGTTTCTTTTCTTGCTGTATGTCTCTCTGCTGAATCAAGCCACGAACACTATTTCTATCAGTGAAATGCATAGGAATGTTCCATTTCTAAACTGCAGTGTTTGATGAAACTAAAACATAATTTATCAGTACAATACTAGGCATGTTTGCCAGTTTCAAAGTTGTAATTCGGATGCTAACAGTTTTTAAAGTTTTCTTTAAAATTGAAAAAAAAATGTAAAGAGCTATATTGTATTGAATGGTCACACATTAGTATTTATTTCAACTTCAAAGTAATGTCATCATAATTTATTATACACTATTCACTAAATAATAATGAAATCTCAACAGAAAGATTGGCTGGACTGATCAGGATAACATGTAAGTTATTCCTAGTGCAGGAAATCCTCTTTTTCTGTCTGACCCCACAGAACTGCCAGCATACATATTCTGCCAACAGATGAAGATGAGCTGGGGGAAAAAGGAGCAGAGTTATGCCATATCATACCACAGGTCTGTCTTGTTCAGTTTTGTCTATTATGACAGCAGCTTTCCAGAGTTCAGACAGTGTTGTTTTTGAGTCCTAGTTAGAAATGTCATGAAAATCCTTTTCATTGCGTTTTACTGTGATGTCACAGGACTTTGAAGGGAATATAAGCTGTAATCAATTGGTCATTTCTTAACTGACATAAAGTGACAAGAGAATGGGGTGGCTTTTTCTTACAAATAAATTGTTTTATTTAAGATGCTCCCAGCTTTTTTGTAAATCGCTCTGGATGCTTCTGGAAGGCAAAGCAGTGTAGAAATAAAATGAAATAAATGAAAACTGCATAAGATACAGTAACACTACCACACCAAGTGCCAGTAAACTGCATTGGAAAAGGCTCTACTGCCGGGAAAGGTGGAAGGAAAGACAAGAAGATGACCAGGAGTAAGGTGGAGTTACAGTGGCAATGAGCACACCGTGAGAAGACCTGAAAGACCAGGTTAGGGATGGATTATCATGGAGGAAACCTATGTAGCGACTAGGAGTCCACACCAACTTGATGGCACAAAATCAATCATAGTACAAGAAAGATGGCAGCAGTTGTTTTCCTGTTTCCATTAACAACTGTAGATAAGGAGTCAGAGAAAACTAATTATTCTGGATTAATGATTAGAAAAGTATAAAGGTGATGAATAGGAACTGTTTTTCGTACTCTTCTAACTGCAGTTGCACTTCCGAAATACAGTAACTGACGCTTTCCTCATCACCGCAACCAGCAAGTCCATCGCTTGCCTTTTTTTTTTTTTCCTGCGATGCCAACTAAAAGCGTCCGAAGGAGGACAGCCTCCTAAAAGCGTAGACCTCCCCGCCTCCTCCCCATCCTCTCTTCCTGACCACACCCACCCGCTCCGCCCGAGCCATAATTTACATACATGGCTCCCTAAGCCCTCCTCTCCTTTATGATTCCCTCCCTGGGCGTGAAACGTCACTTCCTATCCAGAAGGGAGGGAAAAAAAGGGATCGTGCGCACTTGGCGTTCCCTGCCAATCAGGTTCGCGTCACTTCCTTCTCGAGAAGGCTGCTGCTTTTTGCTACTACAGTTGACGAGTCCGTCAGCAGGGAAGCTCGCGCTACGGGGAGCGAGGGTTTCTCGGTCGCGCGCCAGGGACTGTGCATTTATTTGGCCTCGAGGGGCGGGGCCGGGACCGGGACGGCAGCTTCACGCTTGTTACCCTCGGCTGTCGCCGCTCGAGGACCAGCCCTGAAGAGCCGAGCGGGACCTAGTCAAGTCGGGCCTTCGAACGGAAAAAGCCGGAGAAATCTGCTGCTGAAACTGAGGGCCGAGGGGAGAGTCACCCGGCAACGGTGAGGGAATTGCAGGCACGCATGCGCGCCACGGCAGCGGCGGGGGGGAGGAGGCGGAGGGAGCCGAAATGATGAGGACAGAAGAGGGATGCGGGAATGGGAGCAGCTTTGCTCGGTGGCTCCTGTGGAGGCTCTGCTCGACGGGGCGGTGGGCTCGGAAACCGCCTTTCGGCAGGCAGCCTTTCCCTGTGGAAGCGGGTGGGGGCCTCTGCTTTGGGATCGCCACTGCAATTTAGAGAGTTGTGGAAGTTGGAGCGATAACTACTTACACCTTACCATGAGGTGAATGGTTATTACTTTACAAGATCAGTTATTACTTTACAAGATCAGCCCCGTACATTACGTTAACGGTTCCTGTTGCCATGGGCAGGCTAGAGTAGCAGAGATATTTGGGGACATCTGTGGTTAACAGAAAGCGAATAACAACGGTGCTTGAGATACGTAATTCTTGGCATTCCAGTTATGTACTTGCTGATAGTGGAAATAGGATAGAGGTTAACTCCATATTAATTCCGCCTTTTTCTTTCTGGAACCAGAATCCTAGGGTTGGGAATAATGGTAATTCCCATATCACAAACATTTATGACTAAGCCTCATCCAACTCCTACAGATGAACATTTGTAATTCAGGATCAGGTGTCATAAACAGAGAGCAGGTGCAGCATAGAAAGATTCTCTCAGGACAAAATAGACCTGTATGACTAATTGAAGTGAAGTTGCATATTACATCAGCACTACTGGAAAGCAATATAATTTATAAGGATTAGTTAAATCAAATTTAGGTAATATTTTTGTGATGCTTGATGTTCCAAGAGAACTTATCAAGCATTAATTAATGAGGGCTGTAATAGCATTCATGTTTTTCTATTACTGATTATTATCTGCAAGAAAGTGTTATGGCATGTTCTAGGTATCTTGGTTTGAATACAACAGTACCTCTCATAAATTTCTGGGATGCTCTGGTTCCTAGGCAAATGCACAAAATTTATTTACAGACAAACTGATTTGAAACTGGTTCCTCAGGGTTGTGAAACTTGTCCGTATCTATCAAAGCAAACTTATCCTGAGTTTTTAATTTATTCTTTTCTGAGCAGTGATAATTTCATAATATCAGGCATATTTATTGAGGTTGATGCTCTTTTATTCAGAAGTTTAAAGCAATAACGTGATTCAGGAAGGTGTATAGAAATGAGAGGTCTATATTCTCTGTCTCTGCTAAGAAAACATATCAGAAAGTAGAGGGGTAAGGTATCATGAGCAGGGAATAATGGGGATGAACAGCAGCACAGCACATGGTGCTTGTACTTTCTCGGCCTCAAGCAGAAAATAGAAATACAATAGCCATTGCTGTTTTCATTACATAATTCTGCTTTTTTCACCCCAAATGTTAAGAACAAAGCTCAGAAATATTAAGAGCAATGGAACAGGGGTTGTTACTGCAGCTACTTTAAGTACCACTATTTCTCCGAATTAAGCCTTAAATGTTTTTTTTTAAATACACAGTGCTGGTATCAGTTGATGTGAATAATATTGGGCATGCTCCCAAGTGCATGTTCATGGATGTTTAAAAATGCAAGAATGCCATCTGCCCTTGAAATGTTTCCTGCAGTAACCACTGGCATAACACCATGTACATGCTGCAGTTTTGTCTGCCACATGAAGTGGGGACTGCCTGTACTTGCCCAAAATTCTACAAGAGTTTTTTTTTTTTTTTTGGCTGAGTGGATATTTTATCCTGTATGTAACATCTGAACTCAAGCCTTCTATTATACTGCGATGTTTTATTATTACTAATTATTGAGGCTTTTTAAAAATGGGTTATTAAAATAAATTAGCTCACAATATTAAGCCCATGTTATTTTTTCCTTTAAAAAAGCTGACTTAAAATGAAGAGTAATACAAGCATACTTTTAAGAAGTAATATGAAAACTGCCAGGAAAAATAAAGTATGGGGCAATAATTTAGGATGAAAGGAAGAGGCTGTAAAAGCCAGTTAGCGCAGAATTGTTAATAGAGTCAAATAAAGAATACAGTAGGCAAAAAATAAGTTTCTTTTTTGATTCCTCTTGGCTTCCATTAAAAAGCATTTGGGTGATGGAATTTGTATTTAATTAGCAATTTCCTACTGGGTTCATCTCCACTGTATATTTTGCAAAATCTGTTTGAAAGCAGAAAGTTTGAAATACTTGTTTGAAATACTCAACATTTTAAAGAAATGGTAACAGAAATTGTATTGTTACCACAATTATGGCAGACTCTGCTATGTATAATAATACATTTGATTGCACTAAGTGTGAAGTATAAACATTACATAACTTTGATATTCTTTTGTTGCTCTTTCCTTGAGTTAGGCATTACTTTCTTTTTCTAAAGGTGAGAGTTGATAATTACCATTTAGTAATAAAATAGTGTAATTCAGGGTGGGCTCTTACAATAATTACCATTGGAATAAGCACCATCAGACTCAGTGGAGCTTGTTTTGAGGCAGACGTGTATAGAGTTACACTGCAAAATCAGTAAAAACTGTGGGGAAGCCAACAGTATCAGGTGTCTCATGTTGGTATGAGTTATGTAAGATGTACTGACTGCTGTTTTGTTCCTGAATTATGTTATTTTCTGATAGTTATTTGTTTTATGAATTGGGCAATGTCTTCAGCTAAGCTACAGTCTATTATGTTTTGTATTACACATGGGGAATAAAATCAGTTTTGTACTTTTTTAAAAGCTGTCAAACAAAATAGGTTAAGAGTAGCAAGATATTGGGATGTTTTTCTAAAAAGTTATTTAGTACTGAAATCAGAAGAGTAATTGAGCATTATATTATAGTGTTGTAAAAGTTTTGCTTGTTTTCTTAGGATGTACAGTTGGTTAGTGACCTTATTGCACGAATGTACTTAACATTCATGTTCAGTGTTGCTTTATATTTTTGGTTCATATCCTTTGGTATTTGGTTCATGGAAGCAGGTTTTATTGCTCCTTTATTGTTTGTAACAGCAGATGAGGGCACAAATAGTGATGGGCAGCTGCCTTGCCCCATGCCTTCAATAAACTTGGTTGCTTAGACAAGGCCCAAATAGGAGCTGTAGTAGGGGAGCAGTGTGGAAGGAAGGATCAAGCAAATGAGGAAAGAGCTGCTGCAGCAGCAGCAGATTGCTTGGAAGCAGGCCCAGAATAGGTGATCCACGTGGTAGAAACAGAGCTCTAGGAAGCGTTGGTGGCTTTCCCAGTGGTTCCTGCTCGCTGCTCTCCTGCTTTTCTTCTGAGACCCTTGCATGGTTGAGGCCTGTTGCGGCAGTGGCAGTAGAGAAGTAGTGACTGTGTGGCTCATCTTCTGCCTCTCTTCTTCCTGTCTCAATTGCTACTTAGTGGGGAGGGCATTTGATGCCTGAGCTCTCTCACCACTGGGAGTCCTCAGTGGCTTGGGGGCCAGAAAGCTCTGCTTAGCCTCTACAGTAGATTAAAAAACATGGCCAGTAACTTCCTTCATGTTGTTTGAAATTCTGTAATGTGTATGCTTTGTCATCTTCAGTTTCAGAATATTTGACGACAATGATCTCTAACTTGTTTTTTTCTTGAAGAATTCTCTATCAGATACGTTGGTACAAATATTACAGATGAATTTCCTTTGAGAAAAGAGTATATTACATAGCACAGTATTAAATTCATAAGTAATGACGCATAGAGGTGTCCAGTAGTTCTTTAGATGCATCTTCTTTAAGGAGTCTCTGACAGGTACAGTGAACATGTCAGTGCCAGATGTGAAACATCTTTTCTGCTTCAGATCTGAATATTGTACAACTGTAGAAATGGGTATGTAGTGATTAGTGTTAAGTACGCTAGAATGAGAGTTACCCAGTGAAATGGTTATGTGGTATTTTAACTTATTTAAAAATCATTTGTAGAAGAAGGTAAAGAAAATAATTAAAGAACACAGCTGCTTTCAAGTGTGTTTTTTTATCACTCTTACATTACAAGGTTCTTGAGGCTGCGTGGGAAACATCTAAACAGTTTGTTGACTGTGGAGGATGAGAAGAACCCAGAATGCAAGGGAATCTGGCAGAGGAGTGGGTGGTTCTGTGAGAAATAAAGTCTTTTGAAATTATAGCGAATAGCTACAATGTTTAGATACGGCAAGTAACTTTATTTTTTCTTGTAGAGAAGTTATTTGAAATCATACAAGAATACTGTAATGAAAAATTCTTATACTGTTTGGGAAATTATTAAAAACCTTACATACACACATAACTCATGCTGTCCCCTTTTAGGGTAAATATTGTTATGTAAAATACAGAAAAGGAGTAAGAAATAGTAAGCATAAGAAATTAAAGACAGGAGAAAAGAAAAAGAAATATAGCGAAATCAAGTTTACACCAATATCATTCACTGTACCTCATCATATACTTTATTTGGGATCCAAGATCACTGCAGATGGAGACTGCAGCCATGAAATTAAAAGATGCTCCTTGGGAGGAAAGCTATGGCAAACCTAGACAGCATATTAAAAAGCAGAGACAT